TAGCTTACTTATTGGGTCCGTTTAAAGTTTTGTCAATGGTATTGCGGAGTGGGAATTTTTATAAATTTATATATTTTAATTTGTATGGACGTAGATAAATGATAATGAATATTTAATATTTATGAGAAGTTGTGATTGGTTTGTTGGATAATCTCAAGGTAAAGTAATATTTTTGCAAGTTTATTTACCTAACTTAGTTTGTTTGAGAAATAACAATAAAACATATATAGAATTAGTTTGAGAAAAAATTTTGGTTGTTTATTAAAAATTAGGTTTGATAATGTATAAATTTTTATCTAAAAAAAATCTTGTATTGTTTTATACAAAACATTATGTTTCGAAATGTAATTTTTGGTTGCGTGAAGTAGGTTGCATGATTTTTGGTATGAAGCATAAAAAAAGACAAAAAAAGCTGCGAGGGATAGGGGTTTCGAAGGCTGGAACAATGTTGTGGTTTAGAGGGATTTCAAACCGATATACATCTTGGAAGATATATGGCCGCATTATATATTGAGCACGTGATGTCTCAGTAGTTCACACAACACTCACAGTTCGGTGTTGGCAACCGAAATTGACTAATTCATGGCGGGATGACAATGCACATTGGCAACTCCGTTTTATTTGCTGCACGTGCAAAACAAATGGTAAGATTAATTTAAATGAAATATATCATTAAATTCAGTTGTTGTTAATATATCTTTTATCATTATAGGCTGCGTCTCTTGGACGTGAGCTGAGCCCGATGAAGCTGTTTGTGGAGATACACGTGCGGAGTTAAAACCGCTAGAAGGGGGTGCAACAGTTTATTGATAACCGTGCTCAATATTTCATGGTATGTTTGTTCAACCATTTTATTTTGTAAGTTTATGTAAGTTATTATGTTTATTGAATTGAATATGATGATTACTTTTTTTATTTTATTTTCAGGAGACCTATAATAATTGGTTAAGGGAGAGATATAGGGATGATATTTTGAACTATCCAAAATTTGATCTGGATTTATGGATGGAGGTTGGTTCGTCAGGTGGATCCGATAAAAATCAGGTTTATGGGCTCTCCAACACTATGACAGACAACTTGTAGTCGACCCATAGTGTTTCAACCGTTGGGAGCTCCTAATTAACATCGAGCTCCAAATCCAAGGAGTTTGAGGTCTTGTAGCAACACACGGCTCAACTCACCAAAAAATATGACCACTTATCAGCGGATTACGGGCAACTCAAAGCATCTCAAGCACAATAAAAAGCAGCTTATGAACAACAAAAAGGCGGCTTATGAACAGCTTCGTCAAATGGTTATGAACATGGTAAATAGTGGAACATGTGCGCCTAATCCTTTTTGTCCTTATAACCACTAGCCTCCTCTAGGATCTCCTCCTTCTCCTCTAGCTCCACCTTTATATTAATTTATAATAAACATTATTTACCTTTAAAACTTCATTTAATATTTTTTTTGAAACATATTCAATTTGTAATGAATATTATTTAACTTTGTTTTTTTGTTTAATATAAATTTTATTTGCATAATTGGTTTGTATTACAATTAATTTATATAGTTTTATATTATATATCCTAAATAATTTTTTAAAAACAAATTTAGACTCACCGACCGACTTACCGGCGGAATCACTCCGTCGACATTTAACAGTAGCTGCCACACTTACCGATGAATTTACAAACGAAATTACTTCGTTAGTATTTCATACACTCACCGACAGTTTTGCCAACGGTTAGCGTCCGTCGGTAAATCACGATATCACTAATGGAATACAAATCCATCGGTATATTTCAAGCGAAAATCTTTTTTTTTTTTATGCAAATTCTATCTATAAAACCATTGACAAATGATTTTTTTGTTTTGCCGATCTATATAGCAACGGAATGTCGAATCACTGATGAAAGAAAACTCGACGAACATAATCCATCGGTGATGACGTCGATAAAAAACCGACAAAGTTCTAATCATACATCAATGGAATTTATCCGTTGATAAAATTGTGAAATCTTGTAGTGTTTTGCAACGAAGTTCTGCTAGGCTTATATATCCATATTTGCACATTGTGTTTGATCTTCCTATTTCTGAAGGGAGGTTCAATATACTGGACAGGGGAGGATGTTGCCTCCCTTGAAGAATAGTTGCTCTATTCTTTAACTGATTCAGCTGAACATGCAATGAATAATTAAAGAATATGTCATGTTCGATTCGGCTAGTTCTCCCTTTAGTAGACTGACATGTACGAAGAGATGGATGTGGGATTGGTTAGCCATGAGCCCAGCCTTATTTAGGAGCTTTTTTAGGTTTTTTTTTTTTTAATAGAAAGGAGCTTTCTGAGTTGAGCAACCCTTCTCCGTGTATAGAAAATTCTGTGTTATAAGTGCACAAGGTCATTCCTATCTGTTTCATTTATTAACCGAGGAGATTTAAAAGTTTGACAGTTTACTTAAGGGGATGTTGAATAAGATGATCCACTTCTTAATGCCATTTGTTCGTATTTAAATAATAATAATAATAATAATAATAATAATAACAACAACAACTACTACTACTTATCTAGTATTAAGCTGAATATATAGCTCTTTGACGACAACAAGTTAATGAAAAGACAAGGAAATTTTAAAATACATAGTTAATTAGATGTATAAACTCACAACGCGTGAATGTGAACTGATTTGTGTGAAAGGTAATATAACTAATAAAGATTAACTATGGAAATGCAATATGTAAGTATAAAAAAATATGAAAAGAACGGGAAGCGCAGATGTCAAACTAGCTATCGGATAAAGATCATCATTGTTTATAAAATCAAGATTTTAAACACCTTGAAATTATGAATAAAACTTTTAAATTTCGCTTTTTGATTTTATGATTTCAAATCAATTATATTATACAATAAAACATAGTCATTTTTTTTTACTTGGTTAGCTCTTAATTGGAGAACTTTAAATATTTTAGCTCTTATCAAAACATAATTTTTTTTTTGGCATTTTGAATGATAAGCAGTGCAGTATTTAGTATATGATGTGGATCGAATCTGGAGATGTTCAATAATTTTGATGACCACAATTTTAGGTACAACCGTTCGTGTTAACAATTGCTATTGTGGATAATAATATCTTTGGCCTACAATTAATGTCTGGTATTCACAATGATAATAACAAAATGGGCCACTTCACAATAATGATTTCTTGATGTTAACTTATGAAAAAGCAT